TTGCATGTCCTGGCGAACCTCGCCTGCAATGTCAACAGCGTCAACAGGCGTTTCATTTCGTATACCTGGAATACAGCGATCCAACCATCTGAATATCCATTGCAGTTGGCCCAGCTGTGACCTACCCTCAAAAATCCCAATTAGCGTTTGCTTGAACTTTTCATAGTCAGGGCTTTGCAAACCAAACGCATTTAAACGACTGCCTGCATACGAACCCTGCGTTATATGGAAACGTACATATGCTTTCTTTTCTTCGTCAGTCGTTATGTGACTAGTGCGCATGTTATCTTCACATGCACGAATAAAATGTGCGACTCTATAATCGTCTTGTCCCGTGAAATTTCGAACATACAGTGACCCCTCGTTTAACGAACACCTCGGTTAACGTAATTTCGATTAACGAACTGCCTTCCATAAGGATCTTCAATTCGGTTAACGAAAAAAAATTCGGTTAACGAAGTTCTTACGAACCGACCTCAACATGTTTTCGCTTGCACTGACCGGGCAACCAGCTTTAGTATCAGTCCGCCAATACATTAATCGGTTCTAGGGCTTAAATTCCTTACTATTTTAGTAAATATCAAGAAGTTTATACTATTCAATAATTTTAAAAGTTTAATATTAAATTTTTTAGTCAATTTAACAATTATTGAACATAATTGAAGGTAAAGTGACTAGTTTAATGCGCGGCATCCAGCCTCCTAACACAGCAAACAGGAGTTAGTCTCTCGCTGTTTTCACTGGAGGTAACATGTTGCTTGAGACTCTTCAACTAAACGCTTTTTTTCTGTGTTTCCAAGCAAATTTTTGGTCATTTTGAAATATATTTTACATATTGACAATATATAATGCAGTGCAGTGTTGATTTAAAGAAAATAATCTTGAAATACACCAAGAGAACTAAAATTTTATGGGTGAAATGGTGCCATGGGGTGACTTCTCTTCCACCCCAATGCCTTCTCTTCTTCCTTCTCCTCCACCCCCATTCTAAATCCCATCATCATCATCATCATCGTCCAGGAGCCTTCTACATACACACCTCAAAGTAAGTGAACTTTTCTACCATTTTTGTTGAATTTAGGAAATTTTCGGTGAGCTGGAACCAATTACCCAAAAACCCATTGAAACAATGGTTTCGGTTAACGAACTTTTCGGTTAACGAACGACCTTCTGGAACGGATTGAGTTCGTTAACGGAGGGGTCACTGTAGTCGCCGCGCTGCATTTATGATATTAATAACATTATCAGCTTTAGGTGTGGTAGTAGTACTGGTGTGAGGGTTAGAGGACGCCATTGTAGTGTTAGTATTAAGCAAGTTAGTATTCTTACTCTTAACAGAAGGCTGGGTTAATAAGGTTGTTACTGATTTAGCAACAGACACACTATCACCTGTAACAGGGGTAACTGCTTTAGTATACTTAGGTGAGGTACTATAGTGATTACCAGACCGTAGGGTACGACGGTTTAAGTCGTCAAATGATTCGTCTATAACTTTCTCACTACTTCCTACCAACTCATTTAACTGTGTTCCATACTCAAAATCTATGTCAGTCTGGGCTTGATCATCGACGAGTTGGTTATAAGAAAACAGTTGCGCTAAGCGTTCGATTTCATCTACATTAGACATGGGAAACTTAGAAATTATCTATTAGCCCCCTTGGGTCAATGAATACTTAACAGTAAGCAGATCACTTGCCTCTCATTTACAAGACAAATGAATATGAATTGTAGTTAATTATTAAACTATCAATAAGAAGACAGACACTTACAAACCACTGTAAATTATAGGATTTCAATACATTAATTATACATTCGACACTTTATCATTGAAATAATCCTATCCGACGAACCTATCAGTGTGAAGATATCTCTCGAACGTGTTCATGTGTGTAGAATTATGTAATTTAAATACCTATTTATACAGAGTAGTACGTCTGTATAGAAAATGTGATCCTTCAAGAGGTCTGAGTCGAGTGGGTGGAGTGTGGGCGGGGCCTCTTCCTAGGATGCGTGCGCTGCTGCTGGTTTCCTTGGCAACGAGAAGACGCTTCTGCTTTGGTGAGAGACGAGTCCACTTGAACTAGGGGAGTTCCTCCTCCGGCGATCAGAAACTGCTGATGATTGGTTATCACTGGTCGTTGCTGGGTCGCTAGCGAAACTGCCGTGTGCCAAGTCTTCACAGTCCACGTATATATGGAGATCTGTATGATGACACCGGAACTTCGTAATTCATGCTGACGACACAACAATATTGTTCAGCTGCTAGTGAAATACCAATTGTTAGTCCAGGTTATGAAACTTTTCTTCAACACTGCAACACTGTAATGTCTAGGAAATGCTGAGTGGAGTCTATCTCAATCGGCTCAATCTGGATATGTACCAACAGGCTGTAATATTTGTATATTACGAATTCTGCACGTATTTGTATGTGACAGAGATAAGGAGCGCTCACTAAATATCGTCTCAATACGGGATATAGTTTTAAACACTCGGATTATGTAACGCGTCACTGCTGTGTGTTTTCTTGTTTTTCACAAAACACAGATGGATGATACGACTACCAGTTTGAAGAATTCGTACACACCGCTTGCCACCTATATGAATCGGCTGCTTGTCCAATTAACCAGTCCGTTCACATATATTTATATTTGGATTTTAAGTAACGAAACCCAATCGGTAGTTCCTTTGTTTTATTATGAAAGGTTGTATATATAATTCCGGAGTGTTGATCAACCGTAAGTCTCACTGTCTAGGAGTGAATGAGAAGGGGACGGCGTTTATGTATTATAAACGTTAGGTCACGTCCTTACGATATAAGTTGATGTGAGCGACTGAAGCTTAAGGGCATCGCAGTGCGTGCTTACAGAAATGCTGAGCTATGGGTCTCGCCCTCTTGGGTGAGTTGCCCGCTCACGTGTCCAACCCATGTCTTACTCATAGACAGTGAAAAGTTACAGGGTGGTGAATCTGAATATAATATCAGATGTATTGACCCATTTATATAATATGTTCTGTTGATGAGACAGGGGCCTTTTACATTACTGATACTACAGCTTTAGGGGTACAGTACCTTAATGATAATACAGCTTCAGAGGTACAGTACCTTACTGATACTACAGCTTCAGGGGTACAGTACCTTAATTGCAACTATATCTTGCGCTAGTCAGGCTGCACCTCGATTATGCGGTTCAGTTCTGGTGCCCTTATTATAGAATGGATATCAATTCACTAGAGTCGCTGCAGCGAAGAATGACGAAAATGATTCCGGGACTTAGAAACCTTCCATATTAGGATAGGTTAAAGAAACTAAACTTGCATTTCCTAGAAAGGCGAAGAGTGTGGGGGAGATATGATGGAAGTATTTAAGTGGGTGAAAGGAATCAATAAAAGGGATATAGATAAAAGTTCTTATAATATCCGAGCAGGATAGGACTCGGAGCAACGGATTTAAGTTGGATAAGTTTAGGTTTAGGAGGGAGATAGGAAGGAACTGGTTCACAAATAGGATGGTGGACGAGTGGAACAAGCTTAGCAACTTTGTAGTAAGTGCTGGAATGCTGGAAAGTTTCAAAAAGAGGCTGGATAGATTCATGGATGATAGAGAGTGGTAGTAACTCTTGACAGGTGCTGCCATGCACAGGTCAACCGGCCTATTACAGACTCCTTACTTTCTTATGTTCTTAATGATATACAGCTTCAGAGGTACAGTACCTTACTGATACTACAGCTTCAGGGGTACAGTACCTTACTGATACTACAGCTTCAGGGGTACAGTACCTTACTGATAATACAGCTTCAGAGGTACAGTACCTTACTGATACTACAGCTTCAGAGGTACAGTACCTTACTGATACTACAGCTTCAGAGGTACAGTACCTTACTGATACTACAGCTTCAGAGGTACAGTACCTTACTGATACTACAGCTTCAGAGGTACAGTACCTTACTGATACTACAGCTTCAGAGGTACAGTACCTTACTGATAATACAGCTTCAGGGGTACAGTACCTTACTGATACTACAGCTTCAGGGGTACAGTACCTTACTGATACTACAGCTTCAGAGGTACAGTACCTTACTGATACTACAGCTTCAGAGGTACAGTACCTTACTGATACTACAGCTTCAGGGGTACAGTACCTTACTGATAATACAGCTTCAGAGGTACAGTACCTTACTGATACTACAGCTTCAGAGGTACAGTACCTTACTGATACTACAGCTTCAGAGGTACAGTACCTTACTGATACTACAGCTTCAGAGGTACAGTACCTTACTGATACTACAGCTTCAGAGGTACAGTACCTTACTGATACTACAGCTTCAGAGGTACAGTACCTTACTGATACTACAGCTTCAGAGGTACAGTACCTTACTGATACTACAGCTTCAGAGGTACAGTACCTTACTGATACTACAGCTTCAGGGGTACAGTACCTTACTGATACTACAGCTTCAGAGGTACACCTTACTGATACTACAGCTTCAGAGGATACAGTACCTTACTGATACTACAGCTTCTGATACTACAGCTTCAGGGTACAGTACCTTACTGATACTACAGCTTCAGGGGTACAGTACCTTACTGATACTACAGCTTCAGGGGTACAGTACTGTACGGATAATACAGCTTCTGGGGTACAGTACCTTACTGATACTACAGCTTCAGAGGTACAGTACCTTACTGATACTACAGCTTCAGAGGTACAGTACCTTACTGATACTACAGCTTCAGGGGTACAGTACCTTACTGATACTACAGCTTCAGGGTACCTTTAAAGATTTGTATTTTTTATGTTGAATTGAATGTCAGTTTTGAAAGAGTATTTCTGTGTTCTTTGCAGGATATTTTTCTATTTTCTTTATCAGAACATTAAAATCCTCCTTGTATTGTTTTCAAATACAATACAAATCAAGTAACTTATTTGCTTATACATTTTCTTGGACTATTAGGTATGCCTGATATCTCATCATTGATGTGGCTTTATTTTTATTTGCAGTGTTAGCCGAGGATGCCATCAAAGCTGCCTTGAGTGATTATCGCATTAAACAATCCTCCAAGGAAAATTTGAAGAAAGAAAATTAGAGGAGATTATTGAAGGTGAAATTGATCTTCTAAAACAAAATTCTTCATATTTTAACATTGTTAACATGTTTGTGAAATTTATCATCAAGGTATTAATATTGGTGGTTATCATAATACTTGTTACACCATTACTTGTCTTACAGTAAGCTATTTTTGTGGCCCACGTTTTTATTTTCACTAAATTCTTTTTCTTAATTGGTATATTAATTATTGATGGTACTGTAGTACTTTACTGTGTATTTAACTTCAGATATTGTTAGCTTTTAAGTTTTGAGTAAGAACAGTGCTGTTAGGCTTTATTCACCGTTTAAATAGCCCTACATGGTTTTTGGCAAAATGTAGTATTTGCCAAATGTTTACTCCAAAGATGTTTCCTCTTTGAAAGGATTTTTGTTCTTCTTTATAGTGCTATTGAGCATTGTTTGCATAACACAGAGGCTTAACCATGTCATCGTTCAAGAACTTCAAAATTGTGCATTGAAAATATTGTCTTTTTAAAACTGAAACCAAAAGTGCTACTTCTCATTTAGAATTTTCCTTTAATTGATTTGAGTTTTTTTAAACATAGTATGATCATTGTACAGTATCAGGAAAAGGACTGCTGGTAAGATGAGGAGATTATGTACAGTATGGTGTATTAAACATTTTTATTATCTACTGATGACATTATTATGTACAATATCTCATATATCCTGGAGTTGTCAAACATAATATTAATGGCAGTGCAGAAATAATGTTAATTAATAGAAAATGGTAATTAGACCCTGTTTTTTTATTTTGTATTCACTTATTTTATTCTGCTCTGGTAAAGCAAAACAATTCCTTTTACATAAACCAGACAGTAAGACTTGTCACTAGGGAAATATTGTATATTACTTGATGGATTGATGGCCAAGTTAGGTATAGGGTGAACAAATAAAAAGATTGAAATATGAACACAATAGATTGATTACAAGAAGTTTTCTTGAAAACTGCAAAACTGGCAGATATATAATTTATGATGTGGCGTTGATAATATTTTTTCAAGTGATTAATGAAAATGTTTTATGAATGTTTTAATATTAAGCAAAGTTTTAACATCTTAAAACCTTTTATTTTAGAAAATAGCTGTACAGTATATAAAATGTACATTTCTCCAGTGAAATGTTCAATCTACCTAATTATCAATAAGGTCCTGGACTGTTGAGACACTTTAGTGTTGACATGTACAACTTTTATGAGATAAGGTTATTGTATATTGGCAATATATGTACATAGTGAAGAATAAAATAAGTAGAGCATTAATTTTGTTATGACCCATATTCTAAGATAATTTGTCCACAGTGATAGATGGTGTTGACAAGCCTGTTGCACTTACAAGTTAGTGTTATTTTTGTGTGAAATGGGTATAAGATCATGTGTTCTAAGCGTAACACTCAGATTGATATGGACTTCTACTGACAGTAACCAGCAATGATGAACTAAATGAAAGTGAATCCTCCAAATCACTTTGGTGTGACAGTAGGTAAATGCTACAGAGCTGACTGCATCAGAGGGGGAAGTTGCAGATCTTCATAGTCATCCAGAACACAAGCTGTCATAATTGGAGATTCTAATCATGAGACTAAACTGAAGGAGAAGAATTCCTTAACCTCGTACAAACCTCATTCTTCTCATATCATGTGACAACCCATGAAGGGAGACAACAATCTGGATTTGGTCTTGGCAGCTGAGGCAGCAAGCAATGATGGACAAGGTTCATTTCTGGGAAAAATAACTGGAGGGATATTGTTAGAGAATCAAACACATGAATTATGGAATGAAATTTTGAAAATCCTTCAGACAGCAGTAGAAGAATGTATACCCTGTTAGTCAAGGAAAAGCAGGAATAAGACCAGATGGATGAATCCCCAATCCAAGAGAGTTATTGAAGGAAAAAACCTTTGGAAGAAGTACTAGAACATAAAGCATTATGAAGACTTTGTAGTACAGGAATACACTGGTTATTAAAAGGGATGCATTCCTAAAGGTCATTGCAATTATTGAAACTGCAAATATCAGGGCAATTTTCCCCATAGGAATTTATGTAAATAGGGAGGATGTATTCCCAGCCAGTAACTTTCACCAGATATTTTTTAATATATATACTCATTATCCAAAGCTATTAGGGACCAGTTGGCAATAGTTTCACTAGGCGCAGGAAACTGGAGCAGCTGAGATCTCCACTACTGCTTCCACCTCACAAAATCCGGGCAACTCCAGCCAGTCAGAAGTGTTAATTATGTTTTATATTTTTGACATTATGCTAACCCTTGGGCCCCGGGTGACGTTCATGAACGTCCGCCTATTTGCCCGCCATTTTATTTTTTTATTTTTTTTAATTACTTTTGGAAATGTTTATTTTTTTCTCGATTTAACCCCGCGTGGGGGTACTGCCAGCAGCACCCTAACCCGTGGCTTAAGGGTTAATCATTTCTTTATTTTTTTTTTGCACATTCTGTATCAAGATTATGTGTGCTTGTAACAGTAAAAAAAAAATAAAAATTCCCTATACTGTATCAACTCAAAAATATGACTTGAAAAAGTTTAATACAGGCATCCCCCACGTTATTGAAGCCCGGGTTACGGAATTTGTAAATTATGACCAATGATTTCGCAATACGGCCTGTAAATCCGCCCTTACGGAAATTGGGGTAAATTTTAACAATTAAAAAAAAAATCATTTTATAAAATTATAATTTTTTTTATAAAATTAGAATTTTTTTGGTGTGGATTTCTTGGTGTTTGCTACCGCCAAACATGGCGTCACCATGAGGAGTCAGTTCATTGTTTACATCCAGTGTGCGTGCATGTTTCTCGCCCCAGCAGCTGGATTTAACTTTTACAAGCATACAGTAAGTACAGTACAGTACAGTGCATTACCCTTCTTCAAGATGACTGGAAAGAGGCCATCAAGTGGAAGTGACCGCAGTAGTGCAAAAAGAAACTGCAAAGGCATTACATTGGATATTAAACTTGATGTGTTACGAAGGTTTGATGCTGGAGAAAAACTTTGCCAGATTGCAAAAACATTAAGTCTTGCTACTTCAACAGTGGGAACAATCCGTGATAATAAGGACAAAATTAGGTCAAGTGCTCAAGCAGCTACTCCATTAACTGCTCGAACCTTGTATTTTCATCGAAGTGATGTGATGCTGAATATGGAATGACTCCTGAGTGTCTGGATTGAAGATCAGACTAAATGCAATGTGCCACTAAACACTATGGTTATTCAACAGAAAGCCATAAGTTTGTATAATGATTTGCAGGAAGAGGAAGGTGCATCTTCTGAGGTTAAGCCTTTTCTGGCTAGTAAAGGCTGGTTTGAAAGGTTTAAGAAGCGCCTTAATATACACATCTGAATGACCGGTGAAGCTGCCAGTGCTGATACAGATTCTGCTAATAAATATCCTGCTGAGCTGGAGAAAATTATTGATGAAGGAGGTTACTCACCAGAACAAGCGTACAATGTTGACGAAACTGGGCTTTTCTGGAAGCGCATGCCTGCTAGAACTTTTATTTCCACTGAAGAAAAATCAGCTCCAGGCTTTAAAGCATCCAAAGATTGTTTGACTCTTCTTTTGGGAGGAAATGCTTCAGGTGAAATGAAATAAAAGCCCCTACTTGTGTATCACTCAGAAACTCCAAGGGCTCTCAAGGGCTAAGCCAAGTCTAATCTACCTGTGATTTGGCATTCCAATAAGAAGGCTTGGATGACTATGACCCTTTTCCAAGACTGGTTCACTAACTATTTTTGCCCTGCTGTAGAAAGATATAATGCCAGGTGTAACATATCTAATAAAGCATTGCTCCTCTTAGACAATGCACCAAGCCACCCAGTAAATTTCAATGATCTTTCTGATAATGTGAGAGTGGAGTCCATCCCCAAGAACACAACTTCCTTGCTCCAGCCAATGGATCAAGGTGTGATAGCTAACTTTAAGGCATATTATCTAAGAAAAACTTTTTTGCAGCTCATAAAAGCAATTGATGGGGAGGATAAACCTACAATTAGGGACTTCTGGAAAAAGTTCAACATCTTGGATGCTGTGGATAATATAGCCAAGTCATGGGATGAAGTGAAAACCTCAGCTATGAATGGTTCATGGAAAACATATGGCCAGAGTGTATCCATGAATTTAAAGGTTTTTCACAAGCTGAAAGTCTACAGCAAGTTCAACAAGATATTGTGACACTTGCAAATAATGTAGGCTTTGAAGAAGTCATAGAAAATGATGTGGTTGAGTTGCTAGAGTCCCATAGAGAAGATTTGACTAATGAAGATCTGATGATGTTGGAACAAAAGTGAGCTGCAGGACAAGAAGAGGATATAGAATCTCCACCCACCTCACTTCAGTTGACAACAAGGGATTTGTCTAAAGGGTTTGCACTAATACAGGAAGGTCTGCAAATCTTTGCTGATACCAACCCCAACCGTGAAAGGAACATCAAGGTTGCAAGAGCAGTTAACAATGCTCTCAGTTCCTACACTGAGCTGTACAAGGAGAAGGTGCGCCGTAAACGTCAAACAACATTGGATGAGTTATTCACCGTCAGAGCAAAGCCTAAAGCAGATGATGATTTACAGGGCAGGGCAGAAGAGGGTAGTGCCCCTCCCTCTCCCTCCCAATAACTCCCTTTGCACCACCTATCCTCACGCAGCAGTCAACATCTTTTGTGGTGAGTACAGTACAATATTTTTATTTATTCCAACTGTATTTCTCTTCATATTACATGTATTGTATATCATAAATTATTTAATGTACTGTATTGTATGTGTTTATAAATGTTTATTTTCATTCATAAAAGTGCTTGAATTACTTTTTTGGGGCCAAAAAAGATTCCTTATGAACGCATTTCCAGGTTTATAATGGAAGTCAATAGGAAAATAGGTTTAGTGTTACGGAATTTCGCGATACGGTAAATTTTCCAGGGAAGGAACCCTTCCGTAATGCGGGGGATGCCTGTAACCAACTCCAAGCGCGCGCGCACATGGGTCACTTCATCACTATTGCTCGCCACTGCCCACACTCCTCAATATCACCCACATAACCCAATAACACTCTCACACCTCAGTATCACCCACACACCCCAATAACACCCACACACCCCAGAATCACACACCAAAATCAAACACATACACATACCCTCAACACCACACACACACACACACACACACACACACACACACACACACACACACACACACACACATACCCTCAACACCACACACACATACCCTCCAACACCACCCACACACAACACACCTCCAACACCACACACACACACACACACACACACACACACACACCATCCACACACACTCACACACACACCTCCAACACCACACACACATACCCTCCAACACCACCCCCAAACACCACCCACACACCCTCCCACCACACACACACACACATACACACCCCCAAACACCACCCACACACACAACAGTCCAACACACACACACACACACACACACACACACACACACACACACACACACACACACACAACACCACCCCCACACACCACACACACACACACCCTCAACACCACCCACACACACACCCTCAACACCACCCCCACACCACACACACAACACACACACACACACACACACACACACACACACCAACACCACCCCACACACACATCCACACACACACACACACACACACCTCAACACCACACACACACACACACACACACACACACACACACACACACACACACACACACACACCACACACACACACACACATCACACACCCACACACACACACACACACACACACACACAAACACCACCCACACACACACACACACACCCACACACACACACACACACACACACACACACACACACACCACCCACACACACACACACCACACACACACACACACACCACACACACACACACACACACCACACACACACACACACACACACACACACACACACACACACACACACACAACACACACACACACACACACACTCAACACACACACACACACACACACACACACACACACACACACACACACACACACACACACACACACACACACACACACACACACACACACACACACACACACACACACACACACACACACACCCACACACACACACACACACACACACACACACACACACACACACACACCACACACACACACACACACACACACACACACACACACACACACACACACACACACACACACAACACACACACCACACCACACACACACACACACACACACACACACACACACACACATAATACACACACACACACACACACACACACACACATCACACACACACACACACACACACACACACACACACACACACACACACACACCACACCACACACACACACACACACACACACACACACACACACACACACACACACACACACACACAGCCACACACACACACACACACACACACACACCCTCCACACACACACACACACACACACACACACACACACACACACACACACACACACACACACACACACACACACACACACACACACACACAACACACACACACACAACACACACACACACACACACACACACACACACACACCCTCACACACACCCTCAACACCACAAGCACACACACACCTTGCTTACCACCCACACACACACACACACACACACACACATACCTCCAACATCACCCACACACACACACAGCAGCCTCCAACTTCCACACACCCACACACACACCCTCAACTTTTCACACACACACACACCCTCCAACACCACACTCACACACACACACACACACACACACACACACACACACACACACACACACACACACACACACACACACCCTCAACACCACCCACCCACACACCCTCCAACTACCCACACACACACACACACACACACCCTCCATCATTACCCACACAACACAGCCTCAACACCACACCCACACACACACACACACACACACACACACACACACACACACACACACACACACACACACACACCCTCCAACACACACACACACACACACACACACACACACACACACACACACACACACACACACACACACACACCCTCAACAATTTGTAATATGAAAACTATCACCACTCACTGTCTTGTCAGCTTTCTCGATTACATATACCGCCATCCCGGGTCGAGAAACGAAAAACGCCTATAGCTGTCGCCTTCGTGATTTCACTAAAACATTTGGCCTAGTCGACCTGAATTTAATCATCTAACAGAGCTATTGACCTCGGGCGGAGAAGTCTTATACCATAACCTACAGACTTCCTCAGTGACCCGACGCCGTATTTGCTTCCGAGGCTGTCTCTGCTTCAGTCACTCACCTGTGGCGTCCCCCCAAAAGGCACCAAGATGGAGACCCTGTAATGCTTCCTTATGCTTATCAATGATGCCTAAGAAACCTGCTTGCTGGAGATTATGTGGCAAACTCACCATTGGGATCAGCGTCAACAATTCTGCTCCCCTTCTCACCACCCTTCAGGATTTATTGAACAGTCTCCAAACTGGGTGCAACAACCATGTCACCTGCATCAACCCATACCAAGACCATGGTTATGCATCAACCTCTCCTCGACGTTGTCCACCCCCTTCCATTACTTTGGGGTCCCCAACACACTCCAGGTTGTGGGGTCCCACTAAGCTCTCGTCTGCAGACAACAAACTAATTGGAAATCACCGTCAGTGAAGTTGTCAAATCCTCCCCGTTCTGTCTCCACACTCCTCCGCCGACTCAAGTCCCCTCGGGTTCTTGCACCCAGGCTCCTCAGTGTTGCCTCAACATTCCATACTTCCCCAAGCTCACCTATGCCTACCCTACCTGGTCTTCACTCCCTAAATGCCACACAACGGCAGCTTACCTGAAAAAAGTGTAAAGAGGGCATGCTGAATTATTCTCTCCCCTTCTTACTCCACATATCAAGAAGTGCTCAACTTACACTGACCTTTCGACTCTCATAACCATCACCACGACCTCATCTGCTACAAATTTGGTAAGCTTCCTGCTGCATCATAAACACCGGCTCCTACTACCCACAAGATCCCTAGCCGAGAATTGCTGCCCGACACCACAACCTCATCATACATCGTGCTGCACCGAACTGATACGCTATAAAACAGCCCAGTCCCAACCATTATAAAAATTATCAATAACTTGTAATAAACCAGTGTGTTATTCACTCCCAGTAAATTCTACTTCTTACGTATCACTATGTTGAAATGCCCATAACCAGTTTGAGCTTTTTCCCCATCTAGTTATAATATAACTTATTTGTATCACTTCCATTATCTTACTTATATTATTTGTAAATGAAACCCTACAATTATGTAACTATGTTTTTCAGCCTTATGCTGCTATACTCTTTTAATAGACAGTTAATTATTATTATTATTATTATTATTATTATTATTATTATTATTACATCACCCACACACAACACAGCCTCCAACACACCACACCACACACACACACCCTCAACACCACACACACACACACTCCAACATCACACACACACACACCACGCCCTCCAACACCACTCACACACACACACACACACACACACACACACACACTACATCATGACCACCGAGAAGAGTGAAGACGTACCTGGCGCTCCTCTCGGGCAGCCAGGTCCATGTTAAGTTGGCCCACCACCAACTCCCTCCCTGAACCCTCCTCCCCACGGAATATCAACATGTTCTCGCCAAATTTACTATTTCATTTAGGAATGGAGCCAGTGTTAAACAGAGGTGAACAGTGGTGAACAGTGCTTAAGTCAGTGAGAACAACTCAACATTAACAGTAATTAGTACCCAAGTTAACCTTCACACAGTGAGTCCCAGGTACCCAGTGATAGCGGCCCGTGAGACCCAACAGCCAGCGATGTGTTAATCCGTTCTGATAGGAGGCCTGGGAACACACCTCACTCATATAGCACTATCTGTGAAGATTACTACACCACGTGGGCCCTCTATAACACCATATGTGAAAGGTTACTACACCACGTGAGCCCCTCATAACACCATCTGTGAGAATTACTACACACGTGAGCCCTCATAACACACCATCTGTGAGGTGCACCACACCACGTGAGGCCCCTCATAACACCATCTGTAGAGAATTACTACACACCACGTGAAACCCCTCCTGCTTACCATCTGTGGGGAGTACTACCACACCATGTAGGGCCTCATAACACCATCTGTGAGGAATTACTACACCACGTGAGGCCCTCATAACACCATCTGTGAGAGAGAACTACTACACACCGTGAGGGTCCTCTAACACCATCTGGGAGGAATTACTACACTACATTTTTGCTGTTTAACACCTACAATAATCTATATGTTACTGCTTATGTTCCTTTGCCTTTCTCCTAATGAAAACTTTTGTTAAACCACCAATGTATGTAATAAGTCATTTTATGCCCAATGTATATTTTTCAGCCTTCCAGACTTAGAACTTTTCAATAAACCGTCAATTATTATTATTATTAATTACACACACCATCCTACCCACCCAACACCACACCCACACACCCTCCAACACCACACACAC